TTAGCATTCCATGACCCAGAATAGGTATAAAAAATTAATTATAGATTGCCACTGATACATATGTACCCCTTCCCACACACAGGCACTAGAAGAACTCTTCCACAAGTGTCTACCCTGAATCCATTCCTGCTTGGACAGCCTGCCCCACGTACGGGTCTGTTTTGGTTATGTCATTAGTTCCTCAGAGTTGAATCTGGCCCCTCTCCGGATCAGCAGACAGGGCCTTCTTAGGGCACCATCAGTGACATTTCACTGCAACACTTGCAGTGCCGGTGTGTGCACTTGTTAAAGAGCCAGAACTGCGTTTCACCGTCTCAGGGCAGATTAACAGAAGAGAAACGACGCAACAAAAGTATTTTCCATGTTGAGAATAACAAGGGGTGCAGAATGGCCGTAATTTAAGATAACAGGTGGTTAACTCCATCGACATTTAATTTTGTATTATTAAAAATCAATATCTGTAATTTTCTGTCTAAAAGACTCGTGTATATAATCTTTTGCCTCTGCTCTTTTTAATACCTACTTATACGTTGGTCATACTCTATAGAAAACGGACAAGAGGGAGAAAAAAATCAAGTCAGATACTTTTCACCAAGCTTCAGAGTCTCTTAGGAGCTAGAATTTTTGTTTAAACCACAGTGTATTAAATGTATTAACCATCATTCAAGGTGCTGATAGTATCACTGGCTGAAATTCTGATAAATCCAGAGGAAAGGAGAACTTTTTCTGTACAGCACAGTTTCAAGTCCTTGACCTAAAGATTAAGCTCTCAGGAAGGAAATAACTGTAGCGTCAAAGTACCCTTACAATGTATAAAACACCTTTATTCACTATCTCTTTGTACAGGAACCAAAAACATTTAACTATAAAGCAAATGATAATAATAATAATAATTGAAAATAGAACAAAATGAAACTAAAATCAAAACAAAATTCTATAGACTCACTCTGGGTTAAATGAAGCCTATCCTTCATAAACTCTATTAACACCCTACTTTTATTTTAAGTTTTATGTCTTAGCATTAATTTGGCATATAAGTGAAAGCCGAAATGCATTTATTTAAGGAGTAGATTAAGTCTGGATTGGTTTGTTTTGTGGCTTCTTGTCCTCCTTGAAAATGCTTCGAATTATCACTGTGAAATACAAAGACTAGTCAGGCTGGCAATGCTCCTTTTTCATCCCTTCTTTACTGTACTTATTTTCCCTCTAATTTTTATTTTGGAAGGATTTCTTTTAAACCAAGTATCAGCTTGTTTACATTAAAATGTGTTAATTAGTTGGCTAAATAGATATGTCAATTATTTCTTGCTATAAAATACTAAACTAAGATATTTGAATGTTACCAGTGATCAAACGATTAATTTCAATAAACCTTACTGATATTGATGAATTATTTAAGATACTGCATAAACTCATTCCATTGCACATATGGATATAACAGAAATGATGGCAAATGCTACAGATGTGATGTTGAAAATGAAAACAGAAAACATGTTAGAATAATAATTATCTAGTCTGATGATATAACTCCATAAATGAGCTAACCTCATGGTTTACTTTTTAGGTTTTGGTTTTATGTCTTTAAAGAGTGAAGGAGTTTGGCTAATGATTTTTATTTAAAACTTTACATATTGTAAATACTTTTTACATACTGTAAACAATTACAAGTTAACAAAATTAAAAAATGATTTTTATTGGTTCTCAAGAGAGGCTTAAAGTACTAACGATAAGGGATAATGAACACAAAAAAACTCATGTAAATTTGAAATCAAGATTATACTAATTTACTAGTTATTCTAAGATTTATTAGCTCTGAGACAAAAGTCAACATAATAATTTTGACTTTTTAAAACTACGAAAGAAAAAGTGGTTAATTGAAGCTGCATATGTTTCTTTTATATGAAATAATGCACAAGCTATTAAATATGTAACAACCTTTTAACATGTAACTTTATCTTGGCAAGCGGAATACATGCAGTTCTTTACTTTGGCGAGAAAAGACATGAAGTAAGAGTGACTGATTAGTTCTAGGCAACAACTTCACAGTTACTCCAAGTATTGTAATCCACGGAATTTGGAGGCTCAGTCCAGCAAGTCAATGTTAACATTACTTGAGATGCTAAAACCTATACATTTTATATGAAGATTTCACATAAAAATGTCATTAGAAATCACAAAAGAAAACCACAATCATAGACCTGAACTTTTTTGGATCTTGAATGTATTACACCCCTAAGTACAGCACAAATTGTGTAGCTTTTTCCACGGCTCCAGCTATTTCCTTGCTGGTGATTCCCAAGTCTCTACCTCCAGGAGCCCAGACCCTTATCCTGAGCATCAGTCTTGTGTCTCCAACTGCCAAGGGGACATCTCTATCTGAGGTCTCCAGTGGCACCGGCGCCTTAAACTTGCTATTATGTCCAAAACCGATCTCATCATCTTGCCCTTAAACTGGATATCCTTTATTCCTTTTCTACATGAACGGCTGCATCACTTATCTAGACACCCAAGGAGTCCTGCCAGACTCCCTCCTCTGCTCTACCCTACTCCTCCTCCATATTTAATCGGTCACTATGTGTGCCAATCCTATTTCCTAAACATCTGCGGAATCTAACTTCTTTCACTCACCCGCATAGTCACTGCTTTATTTCAGGCCCAATATTATCTGAATTACTGCAACAGCTTTGTAACTATTTCCTTCTCTCAGTTTCACCTCACTTCAATCACCCTCCACAATGCCATCAGAGTGACAAGAGACAAATCTCCTCTGCCTAAGTTTCTTCAGTTGCTCGTTTTCAGGAATTAGGGCCTTTGTCACCTGTCATCTGCTCCTTTCAAACCTAATCCTTAAATATCTCTTCTACCAAAATATTTTCTTTTGCAAATGCTGTTCTTCTGCCTGGAAGGCCACTCACTGATTAATTCATTTATTAACAAAATACTTATTGCCAATTATGTACTAGCTGTGCAGGGCTTTGAAGATATAAACAGACGAAAGACGTGATCCTTAACTTCACTCAGGATCTCACAGTGAACGTGCCATTCTACTTCTCTGGTTTCAGTGTTGAACAGAAGTTTAAGATGTCCATGGAGACTCCAGATAAACTCCTAACTCTTCCTTTCAAACTCAGCTAAAGAGACACCTTGTCTCGAAAGCTTCCTCAGCATTCCCATTACTCTCTTTAGTGCAGTTGGGGGCACCATCTCCTGTGGGCCCCTGACACCAAGGTCGTATTTCTATAACATTTTCTTGTAGAATTATAACTCTTGGCTTGTTTGAGTTTTTCCCACTAGGCTGTGAGTCTCCTGAGATCAAGCGCCTTCTTGGGTCCCCAGATCCATAGTACAATGCCTGACCCACAGGCAACCTCATCCAGGAAACATTCTTATTTCAGGACCACAATATGTGTCGTGTGGCTACGATGTACAACTTTTTATAGTTATGTTGATTTTTCAAAGCAATAGCAATTTTTAAGCCAAGATTTTAAACTTTTATGGTTTTTAACATATTATAAACAATTACATTGCAAGTTAATAAAACTGATAAAATTATTATTATTTAGTTCTCAGGATATGTCGTAAAAGTACTTTCTGTCTTGTTTCACTGTTTTATAGATACTCATTTACTACAAAAAGTTATGCATATACTTTTTCTTCATTTAAAGCAAAATTTGTCTACACTAATTTAAAGAAACAAACATTTTTCTATCTCCAAAGGAACACAATTACTAAGGAGAATTTGCGATATTGAGAAAAGCACTAAAAGTTATATGCTTTAAAGTAATATGTATTTAATGCATTCCTTCTCGGATTTTGATATGCAACTCAATTCTTTAAACAAAATAATTACATACAATATGGTGTTTTCCTTTTTTTCATCTAACATTATATTATTAATCGTTTAATGTTATTCCTAGTTTTTGAAAACAACTCTAAGCCTGTATATTATACTCATGTGGCTATCCCACAGTTTATTTCACAATTATCCTTTACTTAGGTAAGTATAACATATCACTATTACAACTAACGCATGATAAAACATATCACTGTTGTAAATAATGCTGTGATAACATCCTCAAACATGCAACATTGTACACATCTCTACCTCTACAGGATAGAATCTTAGAATGGAAACTATTGCATCAGAAGCACAAATTTCTAAAGGCTCTGGATACACATAAAACAGTTTTCCAGAAAATTTGTACACATTCACATTTGTTTCTGTATTAAATTCCTGCTTATCACTAGTTATTTTTTTCACTGCTTATCACTGGTTATTTTTAAAATTTAAATTTAAAATTTAAAAAGATTTTAAAATCTTCATGTAGAAAGAGGATTTACATGTATTTTTTCTAGCAGTGTAAGGAAGCGTGATTGATGTGCACAGATGGTAAAAGTAAAAATGATGCCTCATAACTGTGTAGCAAGATGGCCACCCACCTAGTTTAATTTAGTTCTCCCAAAAACCCTATGAAGCAGATAATATTATCTCTACTAGACCTGGGAAATAACCTCAAGTCAGTCAACACTGAAACAGCCCATTTAAGCCCTTCTCAGGAATTCCCACTCAAACCCTCAAGTATTTGGTTGAGAGAAAGTAGCAGGTGAAAGAGTAGCTATTTCATTCTTTTTCCTCCTTTCTTTCTAGCTGGTGTGCAATTTGCCAGATAGCCCTTAATAAAAGGAAGTACACCTCGGGGTTTCATCTGTATCAGTAGCAAATTGCCTCCCTTGGAAACTAAGCTAATTCACGTGGACTGGCAGCCTACAGAGCTGGAAGGAGCCTACTCACATCACAGATGGATTCTATAGCTGAGGCAGTTTTCTCCTTTCTTCAGAAGAGTATCACTCTTGCTGTAATGACATGGTCATTCATGTATAACAGCTGCTCCTTTAACACAGTGCTGGGGCTTGGTGAGTGGAAACAGCAGTAGTCTTTGAGATGGGCATCTAGAATGGCATATTTATTTTTATTTTGATTAAAAATGACAAATTCTTACCTTAACTATTAATCCTTTTGAATCAACCAACCATATCTTTGTTATCGCTTTCTCCTTTGGTAAGCCTTCTTTTTCCATGGCCATAACAATCAGGTGTGCAATACCTAAGGCAGCCTGAGAAACAGGTTATGAAAACAAAAGTGTTTAAAGTTGTTCCACATAATATCTTATCAAGAGTTACATTTCACCCCATTTTGTCTTTGTTAAAGAAAGTACAGAACAGCTCTGTTTATTGACCTAAAGAGGTATATTTATTCATTTATACTGGGAGCAAAGTATTTTTGTCACGTTTGGGTTAAGCTAAATGACAATTAATTGCTCTCCCTATTACAACAGAACCATTATTATGTGGCTTGTTATTTAGGCACAGATAAAACAGTGATATCTTTGATTGTCAGTATCTTTAATCCTGTTAATACAATTAAGATTCTCTCCAACAAGAAGATATTGAATTTAAAATAACGAACTGGTCAACCTTGCTTGTTGAGCTGTATTGTTTATTGTTGGGTTCAAGCTCCTCTGGTTGAATTTGAAGAATGAAGCCTGGTCACTTGGATGGGAACTTGACCAATTAGGCAATAGAAGGAGACACATAAAATCTGTGTTCCCAAGCATTTACTTACTCTCTTCAATTGGACAAAGAAAGTACTGTGAAATTTCTTGCAAGATTAAAGGAATCAACCTCTGTAATATTTGATAAACTTTGTGATAATCTGTGAAATTTCCAAAACCTTTTCAGGACAAACAAGTGCCAGTTTTAAACTATCCAACCATGAACACCTCTGCCCGCGGAGTATCAAGAGCTGGCCTGTGCCGTTCATCAAAACCATTTGGAAATTCAAAGAAGATGTTTACTAAAATTAAGGACAGCATGCAACAATCCGCAGAAATAAAAAAACTGAAATTTTAATGAGCTGGAATTTAGCATTAATTTTTATTTCCATGTGAAAATGAATTTATGATTTACATTCTGAATGCTTTCACATGTTTATATCTTGTCATTGAAGTTCTAGCTTCGTGTATTTTACTTTGCTTTAAAAACAGGTAAAGTCAAAACCAACACAACATACACAGTTTCTACCAGAGTGATACATTTATTCATAATTATATTAAATTTGAAAATTTAAAGCTTCTTAAAATATATATAGCCACAAAGTATTTCTCCATTTATTACATTTTATAATTCTAAACAAACTTTGGCAGTTTTCTCACAAGAAGCTCACACTCACATGACATTTTAATTTCTATTTTGGGGTGAATTATTATTATTGGAGTCTAGTTTTCTTCTTTCAAATGATTAACTTATAGAAAAAGATAAAACAGCATAATTTTGTCTTGTCATCTTCTTCTAAAACTTTTAAATGTTTTGGGTTTTTTGCATGTGAACAGTTATAATGCACAATAAATGTTCAAAATATTTTTTTCTTAAAAACATGTATATAGTTATATATGTGCATATTGAATTGTGAATCAAATTAAGACAACTTTTGTATGTGACACGGGAGGATACTAAAAGTTAGCATCAGATATAATAGCTTAAATATTTAAAGGCTTTTTTTTCTTTTTTTGAGGAAGATTAGCCCTGAGCTAACATCTGCTGCCAATCTTCCTCTTTTTGCTGAGGAAGACTGGCCCTGAGCTAACATCTATGCCCATCTTCCTCTACTTTATATGTGGGACGCCTACCACAGCATGGCTTGCTAAGCAGTGCCATGTCTGCACCGGGGATCTGAACCGGCGAACCCCCAGGCCACTGAAGTGGAACGTGCGCACTTAACCACCACGCCACCGGGCTGGCCCCTAAAGCCTTTCATACATAATCACACATTTTAAAACTTTTTGTTCCTGCATGGCACTTTAAATATGCAAAAACCCATGGCACCATTTGATAATCATACAAATTTAGAACTGTGAAAAATACGTCTATACCTATACCATACTAAAGTCTCCTAGGAAAAATTAATATGCCTCAACAGTTATTGGAATCTGGTTTTCTTCTTTCAAATGATTAACTTATAGAAAAAAGCAAAATTTTCAATAAAACCTACATTTGCAACATACTAAAAATTTGAAAGACTATCTGAAACTTCAAATTAATGAAAAATTAAAATGAATTCTATGTCCGTCAGTTTAGGAGACCATAAGTGATATACAGACAGGTACCTCTCCAGCTCCTTGGAACAGTATCGTTTGATCAGACAGTGTGTTCTTGGTTATTCGAAGAGCTGCAAGGATGCCGGCGACGGCAACGGATGCTGTTCCTAAAACAAGCAACAAATACCCTTGAGTCACACTCAGAAGGGTCCTGCGGAATTCTAAGCCTCAGATCTTTATTCACATCTTGAAATCATCACACAACAGGTTATCTGCTACAGAAGGGAATGTGCAGTTGTCAGATCCATGGCTGCGCATGAGGTGAAATTCTCAGGCTACATACATCAATATTTTAAGATGGCAACCTACTGCTGTTCTTGAAAACTTTCCAAAAGGAAGGTCCCATGTCCTGATTTGGTGATGCAATGAATAAGAGCATGAGCCCTTGCTTTGCTCCCTGTGCCTGGCATAGTAAAAACCTTTCCTCTTCCACTCAAGACTCTGTTCTCGTTATTTGGATTGGCGTCGGGTTCAGAGACCGAACTTTCGGTTAGACTACCTGAGCACAAAATAGAAGGATTGATGTGAGAGGTCCAGGACCTCAGATAGCAAGATATACTATGCAGAAAAAGCATGTGCGAAGACATGGAGGCAGGGATGACTGTTAAAAATGAGAGATTGCACATATAATTTAGTTTCCCCTCCCTCCAACAAACTCTACTAAAATACTAGAAAGGAAATTAAAAAAAAAAATCAAAGAGACCAGGAGATGAGGATAGCAACAAAATTTTGGAAGCTGGAAGGGAGATGGGCAAATGGCAACTGACTTCATAAACGCAAGAAAGCTGAGCTGTTAGCCAGCCACAAGGAATGCTAAGAAGCAATCAGACTGACACAGCAAAACTCTCAAAAGGCCTGGGCATAGGTAAGCGGGGATGGAGAAGAGGCTGAAAAACAGGAGGCTGGTCAGAAATCTGTTAAGTAATTAGAACCCAGATCCATTTCCCTCTCCTTCTACCAGAGAGCTGACCCTCCCACACTCGGGAGGTTTAGAAAAAAACTAGAGGTTTATTTTCTAGAGAGGGTCTCTGGACTGTAAGACACCAGAGATAATTGGGTGCAAGGGTGCCATACTGAAAAACAAGAAGATTAAATGAAAGTTTACATATTCAACATGGAAACCCCCAATCTTCTCCTACTTGGCTCAAACAACACTGGCAGAAAGCTAATATCAGGAGAGAGAGTGGGAAAATCTCTTCTGTGGAATCTGAACACTGTAAGAGAAAAGAACCAGAGACCAAGGAGGATTCCTTGAGGAAATGGCTCAAGTAGGTCACTTTACAGAAGAGACCTGGAAAACAAGCTCCATTTGTAGGCCGAGCCTCTCAAAACGTAAATGGAGAGAGAACACAGAACGCATGAAACGGCAGGTATTCCAGTGCTGCTGAAGCAAACACAACTTACTGGAATGCAAACTGATATGAGGCTGGAGAAGTGCTGGGAGGAGATCGGTAGGGCCTGCTACTACATCCTAACAGTAACTATGCACCTATAATAATCTATATGTAAGATCTATAAACATAATTTATTATAGGTAACAGATGGTTGCTGAAAGATTCTAAACTCAGAGAGCACTGGGGTGAACAGATTTCAGAGTTTTGAGGCTGGGGGTATGTAGACAAATTAGGTCACTGCAATCATCGAGGAGAGAGGATGTTGAACAATCTAAGAAAGAAGTAAGTTGAGAAAGAGGAAATATTTAAGAGATAAAAATCAACAGGTCTTAGGGATTAAATACATAGAACGGGTGAGAAAAAGTCAAGAATAATTGTAAGTTTTCAAACTAGGAAAAAGTTTGCAAGGCAAATCTGAGTTCAGTTTTGAGCTTTCTGAGCTTGTGCTTCCTGTAAATGTTTTTCAGGGGGCAATGTCAGCAAGGTAATTAGATACACAGGTCTGGAACTCAGCATAGAAATCTAGGTCAGAGATAAAAGATCTAGAATTTGAAAACCTGTAGTTGTATTTAGGTCATGTGGATTGATAACATTGTTCAGAATGAGTGGCTAAAGCAGTGAACCCAAAAGAAGATAGACATTTAAGGAGCAGAAGGCAGAAAAACATGATATAGGGAAGATAACTGAGAAAAAATGGTCACGGAGGCAGAAGGCAAGAGAGTATACGGTGTCATGGAAACAAAGGGAGGAAGTAGTGAAAAACAGAGAAGAAAGGTCAATCGAGAAACAGAATTAAAAATTACTAATGGATCTGGCAGTTACATTACTCGTGAGCTTTCAGAGAGCTATTTTAGTTACACAAGTTAGGGCTGAGGCTGGAGGGGAGTGTGCTGAGGAAGAAAGAAAAGACAAAGAACACAGAGAGCAAGTATGGAGCACTCGTTAGGAAAGCCTAGATAAGAAAAGAAAGAATGAAGTGGAGATGGAGACGGGGTAGGAGGGAAACAGGGCTGACAAAAACATTTTATTTTTATATTTTTAAGGGAGGAATGACAGGGGCTGCTGGAGGAAGGAAAGTAGGATGGAGGCAACTATTTTTTTTTTTTAAAGATTTTATTTTTTTCCTTTTTCTCTCCAAAGCCCCCTGGTACATAGTTGTGTATTCTTCGTTGTGGGTCCTTCTAGTTGTGGCATGTGGGACTCTGCCTCAGCGTGGGTTGATGAGCAGTGCCAGGTCCGCGCCCAGGATTCGAACCAACGAAACACTGGGCCGCCTGCAGCGGAGCACGCGAACGTAACCACTCGGCAACGGGGCCAGCCCCGGAGGCAACTATTTTAAGAATTACAGCAATTTAAACATGGTTATAGGCTAATGGGAAGAAGGCAGCAGAGAGAAAGAGGTTGAAGACACAGGAGAAGAAGCTGTTCTAACTCTGATGACCTTTTACAAACTGGTTGGGTGTCATCATTAGTAAAGCAAAGCGATGTTTCAAAAATTCTTAGGTTAGATTCTTTTGTAATAAGAATATTTAACAAAGCATTCCTGCATTGTATTTCATGTGCTGCTTTTTCCAATAAATATTTGATGAAACAAATTCTAATATAACAAAATAGTCTAAATAGTTTCTTGCATTTTAGTATAAAGATATCTGGAATGCACTGGAATAGCAATTATGGAATCTACACATAGGACAAAGTGCTTTGGAATATCAATTATGTCAAATCAAGTGAGTATTAACTTAGAAAAATCTACAAGTAAGACGAAAGAGTAAGTGTAGTCAGAATACTATTTTCTTTTTTCCTCTGTATAACTTATCTGTGCATTACAGTTATATCTAATATTTTGTCATAGAAGTGGTATCAAATAAGTTGTAACATGATGAAGAATGCCACTTACAAGAGATGATAGCAAATCCCAAATTACAACATAAACTAACAACAATATCACTTTGAAAAGAATGCTAATAGAAGCAGAAGGCTTTCGGTATTAAGTAAACTGGGTAATGAAAGAGTATACTTTAGCTATTCTTGTGTTGAGGCTCAACAACTCAGTTTGCTGTCTTTACACTTGAAAAATTTCATCACAAATCATGCCTATTGTAGAAAATGCATGAAACAGTTAAAATCCAGACAGACTAAAAAAAAATCACTGATAATGCCACTGTCTAGGTATAATCATTTTCAATATTCTGATGTATAGTCTTACAAATTTTTTCTGTACTTCTATTCAAATTCGAGAAAATTTTAATTCAGAAAAAAATTCATGCCATGCTTACCATTTCAACATACTTTTTATCACTTAAAATATCTTGTGACTATCTCTTACATGTCAATAATATATTTTAAAATATTTTGCATAGTTATAATATTCCATAGTATGGATATATGACAGTTTATTTAAGCAGACCTCTATTTTTGGATATTTAAAGGGCTCTTGATTTTTTGCTATTAGAAATAACATTAGAGGGGCTGGCCTGGTGGTGCAGCGGTTAAGTTCACACATTCCGCTTTGGCGGCCTGGGGTTCACTGGTTTGGATCCCAGGTGCAGACCTATGCACTGTTTATCAAGCCATGCTGTGGCAGGCATCCCACACATAAAATAGAGGAAGATGGGCATAGATGTTAGCTCAAGGCCAATCTTCCTCAGCAAAACAAGAAGAGGATTGGTAGCAGATGTTAGCTCGGGACTAATCTTCCTCAAAAATAAATAAATAAATAATAACATTACAATAACTATCCTTATCTGAGAAACATTTTTGCAAAAAAGATACACAAATAGCCAACAGGTATATGAGAAGAAGCTCAACATCACTAATCATCACAGAAATGTGAATGAAAACCACAATGAGATTATCACCTCACACCTGTTGGAATGACTATTGTCAAAAAGAGAAGAACAAGGCTTGGCGAGGATGTAGAGAAAGGGAACACTTGTGCACTGCTGGTGGGAATGTAAATTGGTGCAGCCCCTATGAAAAACAGTATGGCGGCTCCTCAAAAAATTAAGAATAGAACTACCCATATGATTCAGCAATTCCACTTCTGGGCATTTATCCAAAGGAAATGAAATCACTAATTCAAAAATATATATCTGCACCCCCATGTTCACTGCAGTATTATTCACAATAGTCAAGACATGGATACAACCTAAGTGTCCATGGAAAAAACGTGTTATACATATATACACAATATATATACACACACACACACACACAATGTGTATATGATGTATATATATACACAATGGTATATATATCTATATATAGCTACATATATCTATATACATACAGATGTATATACACACACACACAATGTGTATATGGTGTGTATATATATATACACAATGGAATATATATATATCTATATATAGCTACATATATCTATATAAATATATACAGATATATATATATATATACACACACACACAATGGAATATTATTCATCCACAAAAAAGAAAGAAATCCTACCATTTGTAACAATAGGGATGGACCTTGAGGGCATTATGCTAAGTGAAATAAATCAAACACAGAAAGACAAATACCGTACGATCTCACCTATTTGTGGAATGTAAAACAGAAACAAAAAACTCAACTCATAGATATAGAGAACAGATTAGTGACTGCCAGAGGAGGGGGCTGGGGAGTGGGGAGAATGAAGGAAGGCAGTCAAAAGGTACAAAACTTCCAGTTACAACATAAATAAGTCTTGGGGA